CCATGCCCTGCACTCATCCACCCCCCAAGCCCCTCTCCACTACTCCCAACCCACACCTTCAGTCCCCAGCATTCCAGCCCCTACATGGCCCACGCTCACCAGCCCACACACTCCTACCTCCATGTCGCAGCAGCACACCCACAGCACACCCATAGACTTGGTTCTTCTCCCCAGCTTCATTTCTCCTCCTCCAGGGCCACCTGGACACCCTTTTCCCTGGCCAGGTCGTGGGACCTCATCCTGTCTTTTCTCCTGGGCCCCAGAATTCCCCCTTACCCGCTCCTCCTGGCTCCATGGGCACTGCTCACCACTTGTCCACAGAGCTCCTCACGCACCCCCCCCCCCAACATATCAGCACCCACAACTCCAGCAAAGAAGTGGCCCAGACTTCCTAGATCTCATCCTGACGGACAGTCTGGTGGCTGCCTTGTCTGGCAGTGCCTTGGTGCACAATGGCACCAGCTCCCTACCGACAGCCCCAAGTCCCACATCTCCCCATCCTGGCTGCATCGCCTGCTGCCAGCAGCCAGGGCTCCAGGGCCCAACAACAATTGACACAGAAAATGCACGGAACACAAAATACAAGTGGCATTATCATTGGCACGTCTCGGGGTCACAGAACCTGTCAGAGGAGTAGTACCTCTCTAGGCCTTGCCTGTGACCGCTCACTACACGAAGGCTGATGCAGCACGTCTCAGCTCCAATCCCACAGCTGCTGTTTCCAAGAGAATAGAACATTACCAATTGTGCATAATTAACGTTGGTGTTCACAACCAGCCTTACATATACCGATGAACGTGGGCTAATGACCTCACAGGGAGAGACAGAAGTTAGCAGCTTGGCTACAAGCAGCTTCCTAGAGGTCTTACCCATATTCCTGAGAACCATCTGAATGTCCTGCCTGCACAGCAGATCCACACTCATGCAAGCAAGGCCTGGCACAGTGGGTCCTGTTCTTAGCTGAGGTCAACACCATGCTTTGCACAAAGGACATCCTCTAGATGCGTCCATGGTGTCAGTGGCATCACCCAGTACCTGCACACAGAGAGGGTGCAACAGTGCTCTGCCTCATGTCTGGCTCACATGGAGCACGAGGAGCTCTGTTCCAGCCTTCCTGCTGCAACTGTTGCCCATCCAAGCTATGGCAACCTCCCCAAACAGCATTCAGTGGCAGGTCTTTCATATCAAGCCTCTGCCAGCCCTGGCCGTGATCTCCTCAAGCCCAGCTCCTGACAGTTGCACCTACCTGTAAGAAGCAGGTCCCAACAGGGGTGTTCTCCTTCAGGGACACGTTGTAGAAATTGCTCCTGAACACTGGCTCGTTGTCATTGACATCCTGCAGGGCCACGTGCACCACCGCTGAGGAAGAGAGGGCAGGAGTTCCCCGGTCTGTGGCCAGCACAGTCAGCTGAGGCTGAGGGTCCTTCTCATAATCCAGTGGGGCTGCAGTGGTGATGATACCTGTGGCAGGGTCTATGGCAAACCAGCTGGAGTGCGTGTCACGGCCATGGACAATACTGTACCGCACCTCCCCATTGGGACCCTGGTCCTTGTCACGAGCTGTCACCTGCAGGACAAAGCTGCCTGGGTAGACAACCTCGGGGATGCTTTGTTTGTACTCTTGCTGGTCAAAGAGTGGAGGATTGTCATTGATATCCATCACCTGCAGCACAAAGGCTGATTCTGCCCGGAGCGGAGGTGTTCCTGAGTCAGTAGCTGTCACCCGCAAATCATAAGAGTCTCTTTCTTCCCGATCCAGAAGCTGGTCCACACAGATCAGGTAGATGATGTTGTCCTTGGTAGTGAGGGCAAACTTCCCATCCCCTCCCTCCAGCGTGACATTGACATTGGAGTACTCGCCATAGTCCGGGTCAGAAACAGAAATGCGTGCCACGTACTGGCCAGGCTGGGCTCCCTCAGAGATCTGAGGGGAGCCGTCTTCGCTCAGGAAGATGATAGTCATGGTGGGCTGGTTGTCGTTGTAGTCACGCACATGAATAGTGACAAAGGCCGTGGTGACCTCAGGGTGGACAGCCTTATCCCTTGCCTGCACCACCAGCTCATGCACCTTCCTTACTTCGTAGTCCAGACCCTTGTTGAGCTTGATCACTCCAGTCTGGGGGTCAATGGTGAAGTACTGGTCAGGATCGCTCTGCCGCCGGTTGATCTCATAAATCACATCCCCATTGTCACCTTCATCTGCGTCAGAGGCAAAGACCTGCAGGATGCTGCTGCCAGGCTTCAGATTCTCTGAGATGAGAGTATGATAGCGGCTCTGGTTGAAGCTAGGAGCGTTGTCATTGATGTCCTGGATGGACACATCCAGCGTCATCTGGGTACTCCGGGGAGGAGAGCCGCCATCATAGGCTTCCAACAGCAGCGAGTATGACGACCGATTCTCCCGATCCAAGACATTGCTGACCACCAGGTCCAAATACAGGACGCCGTTGGGTGCTCGGCGTGTTTCCAGGCGGAAGGCCTGCCCCACGTTCCCTCCCTTAATAACATAGCCTTGCGTGTTGAGTAGGCCACTGTCAGCATCAAAGGCTGGGTCCAAGGGAAACCTGCTGCCGATCGGCGTGTGCTCCGGGATCTGGAAGGTGCTGTGTCGTTTGGGAAATGCCGGAGCATGGTCATTGATGTCATTCACTTGGATGTTCACTTCTACTGTGATGCCCTCCGGCGTCACGGCAATGAAGCTGTAGCGGTCCCGAGTCTCTCGGTCCAGCACACGAGCTGTTTTGATGATACCAGTGTTCTCATCTATCCCCAAGTCGGTGGTGACGCCGCTGCCCTCCTGTGCCGAGATGAAATACATGTAGGCACTGGTGCCAGGGGGCAAGCCAGCACTAATGTCCCCAATGATGGTGCCAGCTGGCTGCTCCTCATCTATTTGTAGATCCAGGGTGCCCAGGACAGCAGAGCCCTTCCCTGCTCTCAGGCCCCCAAGAATTAGCAGCTCCAGCAGAAGCACAGCTGACCCCTTCATCTGCTCCATTGCTGGTGACTTGCAGAGCAGAGGATGGCTGGGTCTCCTCTGCAGTGTGAGCTTTAATCCTGCGTGGAATGCAGACCAGAGGATGATGGTTAAGAAGGAGCAGCAAAGGAAGGACAGAAAACCCCTGCAGACGGAAGTCCTGCCCTGTACCTGCTGCCTGACTGCTCTGAATCACCCACCGCTCACTAGGAGTGAGGGTGAAAACGTGTCAGAACAGAGGGTGCCCAGGAAGAAGACCTGGGACAGCACCTGAAGTCAGCCAGGCAGGTCACACCAGCAGCACACCAAGGTGAGCAGTGGGTACGCTATGGAAAAGCCTTCTGCTCACCCACCCACCTTTCTGGCCACACTGGAGCCAGCTGCCCCAGAGCACTGTGGTCTGTGCCTTTAAAAACTGAATGTTTCATTTGAGGCTGCAAAGACAAAGATTTTTGGACAAACAGCAGCCTAGCACCTCTCCACCCTGAAAAAAGCTGGTTTCAAGTTGGGAGAGAGCTCAAGAAGTGACCGTGTGGAACCCCTCTGCCCCTGCCCCTGCCCCAGTCCTGCACGACCACAGGGATAGAGGTGCCAAAACCCATGAAGTGCAAATCTGGTGTCCCTGGGAGGGAGCAGCAGAACTGGCGTGGGCTCACATCCAAAGAACAATAAATCAGAATGGCTGTATGGCAAAGGATGTCCCCACAGCTGGGAAAGCCCAGGATAAAATCAGACAGGGCCCATTGTTCGGCCTGGCACAGAGATCTGTGGGTGCCCCGAGCTGGTACCATGGAGGGCGGTGGCAGTGCAGCAGGAACGCAGCAGCTCCCTCGCAACTGCCGGCTGCTCCGGCTCCTCGCCGGTCCCACACCCTCCCCTGCTCGCTCTCCTCCTTTGTCTCCTTCTCGCTGCTCCTTGCTCTGGCTCCTTCACTCCATTTCCCCCTGCCGAGGCTGCATTTCACTGCAGCAGTGGGGGAGGGACGAGCCGGGAGGAGCAGCTCCCTGCAGCAAGACCACTCCTGGACACGCTGGACACGCTCCTAGCGCCCAGAGGCCGCCAGACCCCCAGGGTGCTGCCCATCCTCCCTGTGAGCAGCTAGAGAAACGCCTCAGTGGAGGAGCTTGTGAGGAACACCAGCCCGGGGCTGCTTTCAGCCCCCGGTAAACCAGGCTTAGTGGTCTGCAGGGATGGCGGCAGCATGAGCTCACACTTGGACTCTCTTGAAAGCATTTGCTGCTGGTCCCATAACCACACTCAGGAGCCGCTCATGTCAGAGCAGGACGGCAGGAACCTCCCTGTCTTGGGGGATGGAGGTGGCTGACATTGCCTAGTTTGGGGACTAGGAGTGTCAGCCCTCCATCTAAAGAACCCTACCGCAGCGTTAACCCTTTCCAGGGGACATAGGACAATGATTCCTGGGTCTGCTTTCCCATCTCAGGGCAGCTGTTTAGACTAGTTTTCCCAGTGGAAATCCTGGGATAGTGATAGAAAGATCCTAAAAACTGGTTCCTACATATAAACAGGTGTTTGTTTACTCCAGTGGGTATCCGGTGTCCAAGGTTTGTGGCAAATAAATCCACACACTTTTCTTGCACTGAGCCAAGAGCAGAAGTCAAAAGAAGACACTATTAACCCTGGGGGCTGCTCTATGGGGGTCTGCACTAACTCAGTGATCCTCAACAGGTCTGTCTCTGCTGGAGTTAAACTTCCCCAGCCGGACCAGTCACTGCACATCCAGAACATGAAGTCCAGTTTCTCTTCTGTGGAGAAACTGCCTCATCCCAACTGCAACCCAGCTGCTCAGGTCATGGGAAGGGACAGGGCAGAAGGTTTAGAGCCTTGGCAGCAGGGTAGACAAAAGCTAAATAAAGAGGTGAGTAGAGAAACAGGTAGAAGGCTCCCTGGAGCAATCTCAGTGTCTGAGGAGCGGATGAAGCAAGAAGGTCTTGGGTATGCCTGGAACAGGTTAGGGCACTGAAATGCTGGGGTCTGAACCCC